AATTACCCCATGTAGCTTTGGTTTGGAGATTGTATTCACTCTTGCAGCTTACCACGGGCGTGCTCAACCCGGGAAGTCACTGCCCCTTCACCTGGGCCTCACCTCATATGCAGTCCACATGCCCAACCAACCTGAAGCTAAATCCTGCCCGAACCAGCCCAAGTATCATTGTTCTGAACATCTGTATTAAGAAAATAAACGCTCAGTTTTGTAAATCACCAGTTCTCTCACTGGTATGTTATAAGCTATTATTCTGGAAATAACAAATAAGGGCTACCTTTTCAGTTCACTGAATCTTGAACTAATAGGAAAATGCTTATATCTCTTAAAATGGCTTTGGACAATGAGTGACCATCGTTTGAGGTAACATAGCATTATCTTTGTGTGTCTGCGCTAAATTACTTGGCTCAACAATAATTATGAAGTTGTTTCTGGGCCCTTCCAAAATGGTTTTGAATGCCTCTGCTTTGTATTGCTTTATAAACCGTTTGAAGTGGTTAACTCATGCAGCTCTGTTACTAGTACAGCACAGATTACCTTGCTTTCTGAATCCGTAACAGTAAGCTGATCAGACTCATCCTCTTCTACTGGTGTTTCCTCCAAGTAAGGGCTTTCATCTGTATAAACTCAGTACAACTCTGAAATAAGCATGAAGATGTTCCTCCACCTTCATCTCAAATTTTAATATTTGTCTCAATGATGTCCTTTGTAAGCAAAGGGTCAAGTTCAGAATCATGTTTGGTCATCTACACCTTGTGCTGAGTACCCCCTAATGACCCGAGTGGATTCACTTTTCACATTATCTAGGCTCCTACACAGGACTTCCACCATGCATTTTCTGTATAATTGTCTGCCTCACCCTACTGTGGAATTGACACCCAGGAGTCAGCTATTCAAACGAATTCTGTTTTATGGACCACAAAAATTTATCATGGATGAATATGCAGGATTAAAGATTATAGTTGATTCGTGAGAACAAATAAACTCTTTGTCTAGAAAGGATCGCAAATTCTCCAGAGAAAAGATTGGGTTAAGAGGGGAGGCAAGGTGGAGTGCGGAGTGGAGATCCAAAGCCCATTAGTAGGCCACTGGAGATCCCCTCGCAGAGGGGTCTAGGGGAGGAGATGAGCCAGTCAGGGTGCGATGTAACAATGATGAGAAATACAACCTTCCTCTAGTTCCTAAAGGTTTCCTCCCCGCTCCCACTACCATGACTCGAATTCTATCTTGCAAGACTGGCTAGACCAGAGGAGGTACACTGGTACAGATAGAAACTGAAAATACAGGGAATCCAGGACGGATGAGCCCTATAGGACCAGTGGTGTGAGTGGCAAAACAGGGAGGGTAAAGGGAGAATGGGTAGGAAAGAGGGAACCGATTACATGGAACTGTGTGTGACCTCCTACCTGGGGGACAGACAACCAAAAAGTGGATGAAGGGAGACGTCGGACAGGGCAAGATATGACAAAATACCCATTTATAAACTATCAAGGGCTCATGCGGGAGGGGGGAGCGGGGAGGGAGGGGAAAAATGAGGACCTAATGTCGGGGGTTTGAATGGAGACAAAATGTTTTGAGAAACGATGTACAAATGCGCTTTACACAATTGATGTGTGTATGGATTGGGATAACAGTTGTATGAGCCCCTAATAAAATGTTAAAAAAAAAAAAAGTACTATTCAGATGGTCAAAGACTTGAAAGCTCACTGGCATCCAGTACATTCTGATCCACAGAGACCATGTAGGACAGAGCAGCTCTGCCCAGGTGGGTTATCAAAACTTGGAATGTTCTTGATATAACCTGACAATATGGTATTGTCTCCTAAGATTATTATATGTTGTATCTAAAAGTCTTTAAAAATAAGAGATAGTTTTGTCTAATGTTTATCATTTTATTGACTCTATTTTAGCTTTGCATTGTAATTCCCATCAGATTTTTCACTAGTATTATTACTATCAAAGTTAACCGTAACCATATGTGTTATAATTCATAAAAATATTTCTGCTTTGTTAATTTACTAAAATTCTTAACTAGATTATTTAATCAAAACATGGACTATTTGAATTTATTAAAATAACTGCAATATTTAAGCATGGTATCAATGGACTGAATCAATATTTCTAAAACCCGTGTTTAAAGCTGACCCAGAATGGAAAAGAACAGACATGAACTACATCGGACTGAGAGGACAACAGGATACTGTGGGTCTTATGTGGTTGTATTTCTGAAATTTCAGTCTTCCATAATCTGAATATAAGAAAGCATTTTTATCCTTTGTGCTTAAAAAAAAAAAAAAAAGAGGGGAGGCAAGGCACAAGGAATAACTTGAATGGTTCAAAAAACATCTAGCATGGAAATGTATAATGGAAAACAGAGCTAAAGTGGGACCTGATCTTTCTTAAGTGTGGAAAGAGAAACTCTAAACTCTTTATTGACCTTGAACGAAGGGATAAGGCAAAGCATCTAGAACTGGAGGCGGGCAGGTAGGTGTATTGGGGAAGCCAGGTTAGCAAGGGAAGATGATCAGTGCCTGATCCCTTCCATACAAATCCTGGTCCCTGGATCTGTCTTTCTTTAGTCGTCATATACTGCGCTGTAGCTTTGAATGGTTGTGCTGATGACTGGCCATGGGCATCAAGTCATCCAGGCAAGGTGGAAGCCTCTCTGGGCTCAATAATAATGCACACAAGTTCCAGATGCGGGGAGCAGATGAGTTTTCTTTCTTTCTTCCTGCCATCAGTCGTGTGTCATAGGTGACAAGCCTTCCTTAGCTGGAGAGATAGTAAGAAGACCGCGATACTTCAGTAGTTGAACATCTTCAAGCCCCAACTTTCCATTACTCCAACAGCAAAGTTTGGGAAAAACCTGCTCAGTGCTCTGCTTTGCTTATAGTCAACTGAAAATCTGACTTGAAAAACCTACACGGCCGAGAATGAATCACACATCCCGTCTCTCCAGGGACACAAAAGAGTGATTCTGTCATCTGAGTGCTGCTCTTGCTCACACAATATAGAGTGTTTGTGTCAATGAGTTAAAACAGTGCTTTTTAATTTTTGTGTGCTTTATTTGCTTAAAATATAGTAACCATGGTCCCAAAGACCGTTAGTGATCGCCCGAGGTAAAGCTAAGAGGAAACCCATGACAACCCTGGTAGAAGGTAAGGAAGAAATGATTGTGGAAATGTCACTCTGTTTGGCTCCACAAAGAACACTCATGAAGCAGCAGTCAAGGGCCCAGGTGACATTGCATCAGGCAGTGTGTCTCAGACTTGTGAAGGCTGTGGCTTGTGTCCTCCGTCCCTCCAGTGGATTTAGGTGCCTTCATTGTGTCCTTGATTTACTGATTTTCTTCATTATTTTTGCTCTGAATGGGTAGAGACCAGCTGCATCTTTGATGACCACTCACTTGGTTTTAGGACCCCCACTTGGTACTCACTAAAATAGGGTACAGAACACTGTCTTTGTGGAAGAACATTAGCCATTTTGACCTAAATATCTCCTGAAATTATGGTTCTAACCTCCAAGCCCAACGAATCCTTTCTTCAGGTTGTTTGGGTATAGTTTAGCTTTTCATAACATTTCCCTCGGTCTGCTCTGCTATATGCACAGATGTGTGACAGCACATACAAATACATATCTTCTGTCAAACCTGTATGTAACCACCCATGCAGTGCCTTTCCCCTTCCCACATGAGCTTAGTTTGCATGTCTTCCTCTGCATCCACTTGTAGATGATTGTTTGCTACTACTGCAATTGCCGGGTTGTGTACGTAATCGTAGTTGGTGTCTTTAATTCTGGTGTGTTCTTTTTCTTTGATCATATTCTGCTGACATATCCATAATTGTCTATTGCCTTTCCTTTCTACCAAGTTGATACATGTCTGCTCTCTAGAGATTGCCATCCCTTCTACTCTAATTATTTGTAATGTATCTATTGATTTATTTAACCGAGTATCCCTGTTTTTATCCAGTCTCCTGTCATCTATTCAAGTCCCCTTCCCTTACCCCCAATGCTTGCGCCCTCTACGATTCACACACACCTACCCTGTTCAAGCTCTGAAAATCCTTCCATGTCCGCCATCATAGAAGACTACCTCAGCCTGTAGGAGCTCTCATAATTGTACCAGTGACCCCCAGCCATTAAAAGACTTAATCAATGCTGGCCTAGCTTGGATACCAAGAATGGAGCCAATAAACTCAACATTAGCATGCTTGTAACCCTCCTTAGTCTATTTGAGTGATGATACACTGTACTGATGTCCCCAAAAAAACAATACCCCTTGTGGAGATCATACTTATATTCTGCGAGCTCTGTGTAGTACCTTGGACAGGATTTCCCATTCACCCTGCTTTGTGGTTGCCTTCCTCACCTTCCTTTGACCCAAACCCTGCACACACCTATTAAGAACTGCTCTTTCTGGGGAAGGTATGATGTTGGTAAAAGAGGTATATCCTAGTTGGGTAACCATAGTATAAATGGGCACATGATTTAAGAAGGGCAGCAGATTTATAGGGAAATAGGTTTGATTGGAGGGAAAGGCCAGCGCTAAGGGAAATTAACACAAAATAATCAGGGCTAAAGAAGATCCTATGAAAAGAACAAGCATTAAAGGCAACAGAGCGAATATGATCCCAATCCCAACCTTGAAATGCAATATGAACAGGAATCCTGGAGGGACACATAGATACCCCAAATGGAACAGAAGTAAGAAGGTGAATGGGACTAAATCTATAAATAAATGAAGGTTGGACAGATAGATATGTATATGTGTTGAAAATATATTCATGGAGATAGTAGAGCATACAGGGGCAAAGTTATGAAAACGTCTGAGTGGGGACACGTGGAAGGAACTTCCCCTGTACTGCTTATTGAGAAGAACAGCCAGACTTCTATGTTGGCCCTTCCTGCTGATTTCTATGTTCCCCAGAGTACGAAGCCACTGTCCTGAAGCCTTATTAACAGCCTGGTTCCATCCTGTGCAGAAAGCAGTCCTGGTCAGCATGGACATGAGGGCCCCTGCGCAGCTCCTCAGCCTCCTGCTTCTCTGGCTCCCAGGTAAGTAGAGGAGAGCATGGAGCATTTGCTCACAGTGCTGAAATTGCCTCTCCTCATTGCTCACTGCTGGATCTCCTGAATGTCTCTGTAGGGCTCGGACATGTGAATATTGGCTCAGGCCCATGTGATCATTACTACTTGGATCTTCTGGGAAATCACCCTGGCAACATGATTAATCGGGTGAATGTTCGTTTTTATGTTTCCAATTGCAGGTGCCAGATGTGACATCGTGATGACACAGTCTCCATCCCTCCTGTCTGCAAATCTAGGAGAGACTGCCACCCTCACCTGCAGGGCAAGTCAGAGTGTCGCCTCTTGGTTACACTGGTATCAACAGACACTAGGGAAAATTCCTAAGCTCCTGATCTACAAGGCATTGACTTTGCAGTCTGGGGTCTCAACACGTTTTAGTGGCAGTGGATCTGGGACAGACTTCACCCTCACCATCAGGGGTCTGCAGCCTGAAGATGCTGGATCATACGATTGTCAACAGGATTATAGTTACCCTTTCACAAGGACAAAAACATAACGTGCTGGACAGATCATGAGAGTGGGCTGCCCAGCTGCTCCACCTCTTGCCTTGGTCTCCTAAGAGCCATTCTCAGATGCAGTCACGCTTTGAAGTTCACATAGGCTTTGGTAAAAGGAACCACGGTGTGTCCTCTGCCTTGTAGCTCTCTTTTATTCACCTCAGCCCCAATACTAGTAACATGACCATACCTCTCTGGATTCAATGGAATAAAGAGATCATGGCACTTAATGAGTCTAGATCGCAGCATCGGTAAGAGTTCATCCAGCAAAAGGGATGTCACTATCGATATATCTACCAGCAATTGTTTTAATATAAAGAGAGACTAAGCTACAGTATGTTAATGCCAAGGTCTGATAGGAAAGCAGATCGTTGACTTTGGTGACTGTGGTGCTCCCTCAGAGCAAGTGCCTCTGCCACTGAAGGTAATGACTGTCTAGCCTTGCTGCCCTTAGACCTATGTAGGAGCCCAGAGGGTAGACTTGATGCTTTCAATTATCTGCAACACCCACAAAGTGTTTCTCCGTTCTCTCCTCTTTCCATGAATGTGCTTGTAGGTGCTAAGGGGAAACACTGAATCCCCTTCTTCTGTCTTGTAAATAACAGGAGATTCACTCATTAGATAGCTTTAAAGTAAACCATTCAGGGAAAAGCAATTCTGGGGAATTACTTCCAAAATAACAGTGATTGTGGGGAGTAGACAGTCAGCATTATGTTGATTTTCAGATTTTGTATTAGCTTGGCTCTGTGTACTTACATGTGCTTCCAGCTACCTTCAATAGTCTGAGGTGAAAATGAGGAAACTTCATTAAATCGTTGTGTAAAAAGAAATAAAGGGAAAATGCATCAAATCTGTATTATTTCACAAAAATATGAAAGGTCTGTCCTAAGGAACAAGAAACAAAGCCTTATATCTATCATCTCTTCATCCATCCATCTCTTCATTCATCCATCTAACCTATATCTACTTATGCATCTATCAAGCCATCAGTCTATATTGTTAACCTATATTTTTGTCTATACTCATCTACAGTGTTACACGAGTGTAAGTCAACTAGTACTGTTACAAAATCATAGAAACCTCTATTAAATGAAAGTATCAAAATGTGAACTCATGGTTTTTTCAGCATAGGCTCTATATGGGTGGACACACTTCTGAGAGCAGGCAGTGTTTCTGTTCTCTAACCCTTCCTGGAAGAATTCCAGCCTCTTGGATTTACACCACTTCAAAAAGGCAGGTTTGGCTTCTTGAGAGGTTTAAATTGTGGCAAAAATGTTCAATGTTCGTTGAGTTAGGGAATAGAAAAAAAGGAAGGGATAACAGGGTTAAAAGGCAGATGGGGTAAGGTTTCCTGACAAAATTCCTATTGGACAACCTTACTACCTTCAAAGAAGGAACAGTTACATTGCTGTGGCGGAAAACAAGTCTTTGGCACATCCTGGCCTTTCTTTACCAGTGAGGTTTTCAGTTTCCTTTAACTTTGGCATAAAAGCCCCCAGGATAGCCTCATGTCCCTCAAGAACGTCCATCAGAATTATCCCTCTGGAAACCTAAAAACCAGTCACCATATGCTTCATTTTTCAATTCTTCAAAGATCTCTGTGTCATACCTTAATACTTGGCCAACTTGGTACTGAAAAAAGACCAGCATTAAAAGTTGGTTGTGAATTAGCAGAGTCCACATATAGCTTAAGACTCTGGTGAATTCTCTCTGATCATAGTTGAAAAATGTGAATAGCCGTGTTATCAGATAGAGTAAAGCCAATTATGGTAGATATAGTTAGGTTAAAATGTTATCATTTGATCTCCCTTTTGACCCATTTAGAAGCTGTTCAGTTAAAAAGAGAGAGAAAGAGAGAGAGAGAGAGAAAGGGAAATAGATGTGGATTAAGCCTCCCGTGAATCCTGTCTGACCACAGACTAGGGATGTGAACAGCCTTCCTATCATGTAGCGTGCATCGGAAAGAGGATAATAGCAGATGTAGTTAGGTTAAAATTCAACCCCTTATCATTTGATTTGTCTTTTGATCTATTTTAAAGCTGTCCTAGTTTTTAATATTGTCTGCTTTCTATTTGATTGAGGGGTTTTTCCTACTTTATTTTGTTATTGTTCTTAGCTTTTTGTTTCTTTGCTTTTGTGGGGTTTTTTCAGTGCATGATATCCAGGATGGGTGAATCTATACAGAGAGTAAATCACTATATTAATGGTTTCTCAGGGGTATGGCAGGGAGGTTGTGGTAAGATGTGGAGTTAACAACTATGAGTACAAGAAAGAAGAACGTGTACTAAAATTGATTTTGGCAATTAGTATACAATTCTTCTTGATATGACTGAACTATTGAATCGTTTATGTGCAGGGGGCCATGTGAAATGTTCTTCTCCCATTAAAATGCACAGCCTCGGAAGCCCGCAGTGGCAGGTCTACTCTGCTCTGTGCTCCACTCTAAGTGGAGATTGACTCCACAGCTCCATTTGTTAAACAAATTTTAACATCATAAAAGGGTCAAGTGGCATTGTTAATTTCTTTTAGAAATGGACCTCTCGGAGTATGTATTGAAACCGGAAAACTAAACTGACTGCCCTCAAGTCAATGCCAATCCCTAGTAGCCCTGGAGGACAGGGTAGAATCGCCCCTGTACGTTTCAGAAATTGTGCCTGTTAACAAGAGTAGAAAGCCCCGTCTTCCTCCCGAGGAGTGGTTGCTGGTTTTCCTCTGCAGAAGACGGAAAACATCAGAAGAAGGAAGTAAAAATGTGCTCATTGACATGCTCATTTGTCTTCGACTTCTGTTAGGTGAACTGCCCTTACATTACAGCGAGTCTCTTGTTTCTGAATCTCCTTCTTCTTTTTGCCTCTAGTCGTTTGACAGCAAGAGCTCCAGCAGAAATGATCGTCAATATTTGGTCTACGACTGAGCAATGAGCTATTGTAAATGATTTTCCTCACCCTTGTGAAGATCCTCAGAATTTTTTTGCATGAAATTACTAATTGTGACATATTTTATGTCAACCCAGCCTAACACATGATTTTAACTAGCACCAACAAGCCAGACACTTTAGATTTGTATAACTAGTTATATAGGTTGCCAGGTTCTGGGGAAACAGCTAGATGGCTGCACTAAATTGAGGTAAGTTTAACCATGATAACGAACTGAAAACTGGAGTCACTAGAACAAACTGAGAGATGAGGTTAAAATTTTATCCAGGGAATGAATAAATGTATTTCTAAATATTTTTTCCTAAAAAAGATTGATTGGAAAAAGATTTGACTTATAGACAAAAATGTATATGCTTTTCTATCCACTGACAGCCTTGTTAATTGGTGAATTAAGTGAAGATTTATAGAATAGATCATAGTAAGAAGAAAACATATATGCTTTTATAGATCATTTCATCAAACTACTTAAAGAATATTCAGACTTGAGGGAAATGCAAAGGCGCGTTAACCTGTATGTAATTCCATATTTTGAGGAGTTAGTTAGTTAGTTTTGAGGCATTAGTGAAAAGACATAATAATATGAACAGGGAAACTGTAAGTCCTTCAGAATTAGCTACATTGGTCTGCAAATTAGCGCAGACCGAAGAATACAAGAATACTGAAAGAGAAGTTAAAGCTGGAGAGAGCAGGGGGAAAGTTGTTGGCTTAACAGTTGCAGCAGCTGCAAAGTAGAGTTATTAATGAGGTTCCTACCAAGGGTGGCCTCAAGCAAGCAAGCCAAAGTAGGAGTTGGTTTGTTATTACTGTAAAAAGCCTGGTTGTTTTTAAGATCATTGTGTTAGGCCCTGTTGGCTAGAGAAACAACTCCAGCAGCACTCAGATCTGTATGAGAAAGAACTTTATATCATCAAGAAAGCATCCAAGTCCACTATAACTCAAGGCCATAAGTCCAATACTAGTCCATTAGTCCTTCTTCAGGCTCACACAGCCACATGCAATGATGCAGAATGCTGGAAGATCACAGGCTCTCTGGGTGCAGAGACTGTGGATCCATCATCAGTGGAAGCATGGGAGGACTGGCAGCTCTCGGTCAGTGGTCAAGAGCAGGAAAGTGAAGGAGGATGTTCCCAGGGCCATCTGTGTCCCCAAGGAGAGAGCATTGGGCTGTGACCTGATTTGACATGTCTGACTCCACCCCTAGCCAGGAATTTCTAGTTGACATAAAATCTTGTAACTATTGCAGGCATTGTTTAAAGTCAGAATAAACAAAGGGCTATTCCTTTAGCACCTCCATTACTGTCACGGTGATGATATTCCCAGGGCTTAGGGGATTTTTGGGTGATTTCTTTGAACAGTCTTAGGGAGACAACGTTGCAAGTAAATGGAAAGACTTGTACTTTCCTGACTGACACAGGCGCTGACACCTATCAGCATAAAACCCCATAGCTTTACGCAAATCTCTCCCGTGGAGTATCAAAGCTTCAAGGCGGTGGCAATTCCAAATGAAGAACACATTTTGCTTCATTTACAATCGGTGACAATACCTTTAGGACCTCGAAAGCTTGGCAGCTCTTCTTTCTTCATATCAAGATAATCTTGCTAATTTTTTGGAGTGACATTTGTTATCTAAGTGATGCTGCTGCATGCATTTTACTGATAATGGAGAAATTCTATTAATTACTCGATTAATTAGTTAATCCTATTAAAGGAGAAATTCGTTTTCTCCCTTAGAGGACTGGTTTACAGAAAAAAATTAAAGATGTGTTCTATCCAAGAATTCATGGACGTAAAGGAAACTATAAAACAAGTTCGAAGAGGAAGATAAAGATTAAAATGAATATCCACTGAACTAGGGTAAAAAACAAGCATAGATACTGTCAGCGAAACCCTTCAGGCTCAAATGAACATTTTTAATACTTTGCTTATTGGTAGCACAAAGTTATACCAGGGTTAGAATTAGTGAACAAGACTTCCTTCAATAAGGTGTTTTTTTATACACCAATCTTTGCAAGATTCCTGATTCTCCTGTAACAGATGAGAAGAGAGAGAGTAGTACAAGAGATAAAGATGATTGTTCCTGGATTCCCAGTATTCCCTACTCCTTGTTCTCTTTAACATTGATCTCTTCTTCCTTTAACTGTTTCTTCTTCATGGTTTCTTGATATTGAAAAGAAGGGTTATTAGATACAGAGAGCTCCTGATTAGGAAGATGTGGTGAAGGGTATGCTATTTCACAAAAATGTTGTCTGGGAAATGAGAATCAATAAGATATTCATGTCAGTAAATCTGAAGATTAAAAGTACCGTGGCCCTAACAATCAAACTGGAGAAGCGAATGAATGTGATGTATGTTAGATTGTGAAAGAAAAACCAAACTCCACCAATCAGTGCTATCAAGACTGATTTATAGCATCCTGATAGGAAAGGGTAGAACTGCCCTGTGAGTTTCTAATACTATAATTCTTTATGGGAGGAGAAAGGCTTGTATTTATCTTTCAGGGTAGCTGATGGTTTTGAACTAGTCACCTTGTGGTTAGCAGCCCAATGTGTAATCGCTCTGCTATCAGGGCTCCTCTGTGAAAGAAAGGGAGAGGAAAAGGCTAACCTCTAAACTCAACAACTAAAATGCCCAACTGTTTACCATCTGAAGTTTGTTGTCTTCCGTATTATACTATAAGGATGGATGCATGCTTATCTTGGCCAAAATGTAATTATCCATAGCTGTAAGACTTGGAATTGTAGTTCAAACAACTAGTCAAATATTGGCTTGATCAAGTGGATTTCTAAGATATTTAGATCTCTCTATTTTGTCAATTTTGTCCTCAGAGACTTACATCTTTAGTATTTTCATCTTTGAAAGAGGGCAATCTTTAAAATTTATATATACCTACATATACAGAGAGAGAGAGCCTAGTGGCACAGTGTTAAGCATTTGGTTACTAACTTAAATTTCTATATTTTGAGTTTTGTCCTCAAAGACTTACATCTCATCCATTATTTTCATTGTTTTTTTTTAAACTATAATTATTTTAAAAATTATTTTATTGAGTTTTTAACAGTTTTATTGGCACATAATTTACATATCATAGACTTGAGTGGTTCGGTCTTTCAAACATAATAAGAGGGAACTGTACAGTCACCACCACATCCCTCCTAGAGCATTGCCTCCCCCAATTGTAGATTCGCTCCCACAGTGAGCTGTGCTCTCAGGGTCAGCTGCAGTGCTCCCTTCCTGCTCCTGCCTTATTTACTCCCCAACTCCCCTTGAAAGAGGGGAGTCTTCAAAATGTGTACACACACACACACACACACATATACATGGGGAGAGAGAGCCTAGTGGCGCAGTGTTAAGTGGTTGGCTACTAACTTGAAGGTAAACAGAACCCACTGGCTGCTCCATGGGAGAAAGACTTGGCAGTCAACTTATCTAAAGATACTGGCTTTGGAAACCCCATGAGACTCCGTCCTATAGGATCACTATGAGTTGGAATATTCCTCTCCATCTATCCAGCCTTTCAAGTTGACTCCTTCTTCCCAGTACTACTGGCAGTGTCAACTTTCTCTCTACTGATTTTCCACCAAACACTTAAAACTATCATCCTTTTGTCGCATTACAAACTGTTGTCCTCATCAAAGGATTTGCATACACTTCCCCTTGGAGGCTCTTTCCTTTCCATTCTGAGATAAAAGGCCAGTCTCAATCGATCTTGATTTATCAGGGCTCATCAGTTCCACTTCTCAAAATGAGGTTCTCCGCTCAGCTGCTGGGGTTGCTTCTGCTCTGCATCCCTGGTAAGAACAGAAGGGAGATGAGGAGGAGGTGGGGTGGGGAGAGTCAGCTCTGGAGGCCCCAGCATTCCCATGTGCATTCTGTCCGCATCTCAGATGCAGGTGTGACTGTTTAGGACGTGCCGTGTCAGTTTTGATCTATGAATGTGAGGAAGACGCTAGAAAGTAGAGGGATCTGTTTGTCCTCTGGTGAAGAGATTGACACAGAACGTGGGAGATGGTGTAGGAAACCTTCTGCCTCATATGTCTTTGGTTCTTTGGTATGACTGGATATTTTTGAGGTATGAATAAAAATCACCAAAATAATCATAAAATGAAATCATAGTTTAGTTTAGAGCAAATAACAGAAGAAAAAGAATACAGAGATCGCATAATGTTTGCACCTAACCTTGTACTTTTCTCTCATTACTTTAGCTTCCAGGGGAGCTATTGTGATGACTCAGACCCCAGCCTCCCTGCTCATCGTCCCAGGAGAGCCGGCCACCATCTCCTGCAAGGCCAGTGAGAGTGTCGTACACGATAATGGAAATACCTACTTGCATTGGTACCGGCAGATACGAGGCCAGACTATTGAGCCCCTGATCTATGACGTTTCCAAAAGGGCCGCTGGAGTGCATGAGAAGTTCAGTGGCAGTGGGTCCGTGTCGGATTTCACTCTGAAAATCAGCAAGGTGGAGGCTGAGGACGCTGCAGTGTATTACTGTCAGCAGTACAGAAAATATCCTTCCACAGTGGTACAGCCCTGAACAAAAACCTCTGTGTGTGGTGGCCCAGCTGCCCAGCTGAATGGCCTGTATGGGTGAGCAAACACAGTGCATTCTCTGAGTCTGAGGAAGAGGAAGACCCTAAAAAACTCAGGGGAATGGTTGCAGCTGAGACAACTGAACCATGAGTGCCTGGCCAGGCCTCAAGGACCCACAGTTTAGGCGTCAAACAGCTGCACCGACCCTGAAGTGGCAGAGCTAAATGGGCGGGGCAGGAGGAACATGGAGTGTTGGCACAAAAGGCCTCTTGAGGTCCCTGCCTGCGTATATTTTTCAGTTGAATTTTGTCAGCACAACACCAAATGACATAGATAGGCGGCCACGCAAGTTGAGTACATCTTGGGTATATGACTTTCAAGTATTTTTTCCCACTATGCAGTTTGTCTTTTTTAAATCCTTTTACCTGATTTATTTTTGTAACTATTCAATTCTCATACATTTATTGATATATTATTCACATATACAATTCAATGGTTTAAACTTATTAAAGAGTTGTGCTGTTATCACCACAATTAATTTTAGAATATTTTGTTTTCTTGTACTCATTATAATTAGCCCCTCATTTCCCTCCAACTGCCCTTGCCATAACCCTGAGAAACTATTCATCCAGTTATTGTCGCTATAGATTTACCTATTTTGTTCTCCCTTTTGATGCCTTTCAAATTTCTTGTAGTCTTTATCATTTTTTGCTTTCTTTCCAGTTGAGTTTTGTTCTGCTTTATTTTGTTATTGTTGTTGGGTTCATCTTGTTTGTTTGTCTTGGTATGTTTTTGTTTAACTGAATCTTTGAAAAACAAAGCAGTTAATTTTGATTAAATCAAATGTCCACATTTTCCCCTTATAAACTATGCTTTAAGTGTCAAATCTAAAAATTCTTTGATAAGTTTTAGAACCTAAGTAGTTTTTCCTATGATTCCTGCTAGACTTTTTGGGGTTATTTTTAAATCTATGATGATTTATTTTGAGTTAATTATTATGTAAAGTGTAAATACTGGCCAATAGAATAAAAAATTATATAAAACAAATAATTCACCATGACCAAGTGGGATTCATACAAGGGATGCAGGTATGGTTCAGCATATGAAAGACTATTAGAATCATTTGCCACATTGACATAAAAAACTATAAGAACCACATGATAATATTGATAGATGTAAAAAAAGCATTCGACAACATCCAACACCAATACCTGTTTAAGAGACTTGAGAAGATAGGAATGGAAGGAAAATTCCTCAAGACAATACAAGCTATATATGAAAAACCAACAGCCAACGTGGTAGACAATGGTGAAAAGACCAACACAATCCCACTGAAAAAGGGGACCAGACAAGGATATCCCTTGTCCCCACTCTTATTTAATATCATACTGGAGGTTTTAGCTAACAGCATAAGGCAAAGAAAAGACATCAAAAGTATTCGCCTTGGAAGCAAGAGGTGAAACTATCATTATTGGCAGGTGATAAGATTTTATATATGGAAAATCCCAAAAGCTCCACAAGGGGAGTACTGGAAGCAATAGAGGAGTTTGGGAGGGTGGCAGGATACAAGATCAACAAACAGAAGTCCATTGGACTGCTATACACATTGGATAACACCACAGAAGAGGAGATCAAAAAGGTGGTATCCTTCACAATCGCCAAGCACAAATTGAAATATCTAAGGATATACCTGACTAAAAGAACAGAAGATTTATATGAGGAAATCTATAGAACACTATTACAAGAAACCAGGAATGACCTCAACAAATGGAAGAATAACCCATGCTCATGGATTGGAAGACTCGATATAGTAAAGATGTCAGTTCTGCCCACGGCACTATATAAGTTTAGTGCAATCCCGATAAAATTACCCTCAACTTTCTTCAAAGAAATGGAAAAACTGATTACCAACTGAGTTAGTTAGTTTATTGTGCCAACCTGGCCTATAAACACATGTGGGATTAATTGAAGGATGGAGGGATAAGTAGCTCGGTAAGCCTCGTCTTTTGAGTTCTCGGGTCTCTTGTTCATGATGGTTGCACCAGGGTGCAGCTGCTTTAGCAGTTCCCTGCTTCAGCTTGCAAGACTGACTTCCTGCAAGACACCCCCAAGAAGAAACCAAATGGTCCTACCCAGATGTAGCCCTGCGTGCTGGAGAACCCAGGGGGAGACACCTGCCAGTGCTGAGATGCTTACACACTCACTGACTTGGCTTTCCTCCTGAAGTCGGCATCATTGTGTCTATTTTGTGAGATGGAGGAGGACTTTGTGGACTGGTGTTGGACATATGAGTTATGTCCTTGTGGGCTTGGGCAGCACTGGGTTGGGATGTTTTCTTGATGCACACATAACCTTTATATAAAACTCTCTCTTATACATGAGTTTCTGTGGATTTGTTTCTCTGAAGTACCCAGACTAGCACAGTAACTTCATATGGAGAGGGAAGAAGCCCAGAATTAGCAGAGAACTACTCAAGAAGAAGGACACAGTGGGAGGGCTTGCTTTACCTGACTTTAGCACTTTTTATAAAGGCACAGTTTTCGAAACCGCATGGTATTGGTCCAATGACAGATACTAAGACCAATAGAAAAGAACTGAAAACCCAGAAATAAAATGATCAGCATACAGACAACTGATATTTGATAAGGGCCCAAAAACATCCAATGGGAAGCAGATCCCCTCTTTAATAAGTGGTGCTGGGAAAAAATGTATATTTACCTACAGAAAAATGAAGCAAGATGTTTATCTCACTCCATGCACAAGAATAAACTCAGGGTGGTTAATAGACCTTGAAGTTAAACCCCAAACTGTTAGGCCCATCAATGAGGGAATTGGGACCAACTTGTGAACTTTGGAACAGGGATACATAGACTATCAGAAATAGGGAAGGACACAGACACAGAGGCAGCACAAATTGACAAATGGGATATACTGAAGATAAAACACCTGTGTACATCTAAAGAATTTACCAAGAGAGTAATACAAGAGTCCACAGACTGGGAAAACATCTTTAGCAATGGCACATCAGACAAAGGCTTTATTACTAAAATCTACAATACTTTGCAAGCTTCCAAAAAGAGAAAAACTAATTTCCCACTGAGGAGGTGGGCAAAGGACCTGAACAGAAGCTTCACAGAGGCAGAAATCCAAATGGCCAATAAACATATGAAGAAATTTTCCCGATGTTAGCCATAAGAGAAATGCAAATTAAAACAATGTTGAGATGCCACCTAACACCCTCAAAGACAGCCCAATTCCAAAAGTTAGAAATCAACAAGTGTTGGAGGGGCTGTGGAACTCTCATCTACCGCTAGTGGACCCGTAGGTATGTACAGCCACTATGGAAATCGATTTGGCAATTTCTAAAACAGAGGAAATTGAGTTGCCATATGACCCAGCAATCCCCCTACTGGTCATATACCCAGAAGGGGCAAGTAATAAACCACAGCCATGCATCTGTGCTCCACTGTTCATTGTGGCACAGTTCACAAATGCAAGGATTTGGAAGCAATCCAAATTCCCATCAACAGATGAATAGACTAAAAAACTGTGGTACATACATACGATGGAGTTCTATGCATCGCTAAAAAGCAGTGATGAACGCATTAAGCATATCGCCACATGGGAAGAACTGGAAGAAATTATGCTAAATGAAGTAAGCCAAGCACAAAAGGACAAGTACAACATGAGTCCGCTGCGTTGTTTATTAAAAAACAGAAAAGAAAAATGCAAAAGGGGCACAGGGAAAAAGCTACTGCATACAAACACTCCAGGGGTGAGGTCCAGGCAGCATGTCAGGGGCCAGACCAAATCCAGGGGTACATATGGTAGCCAACTAAAGGTGGTGGGGTGGTGGGGAGGGAGGAAAGGGAAGAAAAAAAGAGAGATGTGTGCTTGGGGAATAGGGCACTGACTCACCCAAGGGGAAGGAAATGTTTGTGTCTCCACAGGGAAAGAGGGGAGCAGACTTAAATCCAGTGTTCCAGGATGCGAATGCAGCATGCTGGCATGGAGACTGGAGCCAGCAGAGGGGCCTGAGGGCTGGGCCCCTATACCAGCTACATGGACAACTGCCCCTCCCCTGAGAATAATTTACTTTGGAGGACAGCACGGAAGCTGCAGCTAGGGGACATGTCTGATCAGAGCCCATGGGAGCAAATGAATGGGGAGGAAGAGAGAGTGGAGCACACCCTGGCCCACCAGGCCTGGAGGACGATGCTCTGAACAGCCAATGCACAGAGTGGGTCATATGGCTGATCGCACTATGAGACACAAAGTCCCTCACTGACCTCATGACCCTACGTGGAGACTCAGTGTTGGGATTGGCCTGGACTGACCCTGCGATACCGAGGCAAAACACTAAATGTGTGTGGCAGAGCAACAGGGGGAGCAGAGCAGGGAGTTCCCAAGGGAGTACAAAGGATAGTTTTGTGTGTTAGAGCATGGCACCCCATTGGCCTTGGCAGGAGGACACACCTAGAGGTCAAAAATCAGACCTTGATCTATTTACAGCTTTTTCTTTCTTTTTCAAATTTTAAAAATCTTTTCTTTTTTAAAAAATTAATTTATTCTTTTATGGGTCATTGGTTTTCTTTTTGTTGTCATCATTGTGTTCTATTTTGTCACTTTGTCTTGCTATGCCTTGTTTTTTGGGTGCATATTATTATGTCTGCAGATATATCTAGATGAGATAGGCTGGATAAACAGTCTGGAGGAGAAAACAATGGGACTGATGGTTCCAGGGAGGCGGGGGAGAGAGGGGTAGGTGGGGGTAACAAGGTGGTGTTGACCAACTCAGTGTCAAGGGAGCAACAAGTGATCCAAAATTAGTGGCAAGGAGGGTGTGAGAGGCCTGGTAAGGGCAATATAAACGAGAGAAATTAGTGAAACCTAAATGAAGGCTGAGCATGATAGTGGGACAAGAGGAAAGTTAAAGGAAATAGAGGAAAGAACTAGGAGACAAAGGGTATTTATAGAGGTCTAAATACAGGCATGTACATATGT